AAGCTGTCCAAAGTTTTTCCCCCCTCCCTCTTTCTTTCTGCAGAGAGATCTCAGCCTATGTTTTTTCTTACACATCTGACCCAGGCCAAGGACATATTTGCCAAAAGGGCCTGCAGCTCCCAGGCTTGTTGGACCAATTCTGAGACTTTGACTCCTTTCTTCTAGTCTACCAATTTTTCCTATCTAGATCTCTTCTCCAGCCTCCTTCATGTCTTTGCCATAGCAGCAGCTGTGATTGCCACAAGTACCATGCTGCTGGCAACACAAAACACACCTTCTAAGACTGCTGCCCTAGAAAAACCCAGCTATTTGAGAAGAGCGGGCGGGAGAAGAGTAAGTGGCACCATTATGAACACTGCTCTGCAAAGCAAAAATCCTTTGTAGAATAGCCAAGATTTAAAAACCAAAGCAAACCAAACAAACGTGAATTAGGATCTCTCGCCTACTACCATAGTTTGTAGTTGCTCTGAAAGAGGTTGTGTTCACTTTGCTTTAAAAAATATCAGGGTCTTTCTTCTTCTGATATCGTGGGAGGAGAACTTCCTCTGTAAAATAAAATTGATACTATTCTACAATAATGATTGTAATAGGACCCACTAGTTACGCAGCACTTTTGAAAAATCAGGCCCAAGTTATCTACCTACTCAAATTGTGACATGTAGCAGAACACCTCACAATCATTAACCGATTTGTATTCTCACTTTGTAACATAGGGTTACTCCATTTTACAGATAGGGAACTGAGGCATTGGATAAAATAAGCGACTTGCCTAGGGTCACAGAGGAAATGTATAGCTGAGCCAGCATCTGAATAGAGTCCTGGTCCTATGTCCTAATTCCTAGGCCGGGCTGTGTGTATGTGTGTGGTCAATAGGTGCCTCATGGGCCAAATGCAGACCACCATATACTTTTGAGAGCATTTCCAATTTTTTTAAATTTACTTACTATTGTTTTTATTATCATTTTCTCTGGAGTTTGGATCTTGACTATAGCTTGACCAAGAAATTTGGACCTTGACTAGATTCCCCTTCCTACCCTTATATCGACTTAAATGCCTAACTTTAAGCACTGACTATTTTAAAGTCTTGGCTCAAAGTACTACAAATCAAAATAATTTTGCTGCAAAATGATTGTCAGAAACCTCTTTTAGGTGATTTTTCTTTTATGACTTAAACACTCACACGAAGCAGTGGAGTCTCCATGCCTAGAGGTGTTTAAGGCTCGGCTTGACAAATCCCTGGCTGGGTTGATTTAGTTGGGATTGGTCCTGCCTAGAGCAGGGGGCTGGACTTGATGACCTCCTGAGGTCTCTTCCAGCTCCATTGGTTCTATGATTCTATGGTTCTATGAACACGTACACTCCCAGAATAATGGCATTTGAAGAACTTAACCATGACCAGAAATTAGGACAATTCAATGCAAAAATACAATAAACGGATACAAATTTGTCTTGTATTCAAATGTTATCAAAGTTCTGCCCAGTTAAAGAAAGCTTCATGGCACAAAACTGAAAACCTTCTGCTCCTGCTAGGACAGTGGAGTGTATATAACTTTATAAATACTCAGGCAATATACTCAACAAAGTTTCTGCAACAAAACTTAGGGAAAGGCTTAGCTGCTAATATCTCCAGGCAATTTTGAAGACCGATGATATTTATCCAATTCTGCTCTATTTATTAAAGTTTGGTTAAAAAGTTGGAACTAGAGGGAACTTTCCACAATGCCATGCTTTAAAAAACAAACAAACAAAAAACAAACAAGGTGACAGAAAAGGTGGAACACGGTTGTTCTTTTTTTTTAATCACAAATGTCAGTTCCCTCTGCACACACTATCAGGCCACTTTATTATCATGTAATGGTATGGGCATGCTGTTTATCACTTTATTATTCTTTCATTTCACTTCAATCCCTTTTCATACCATATATGGTCTCTTTGACTTCTGACATATGCCAAAGAAGCATTTGTATTTTCTTGACGTCTAAATGCAAGTAAGCAGCGTTTATTCAATCTGTTATTATACCATCACATGATTCATCTTTGACTGTATCATGTAATGATATGAATCCATTAATTATTAGTTTGCTTCCATAAATTCTTCTGCAGCTTTTTCTTTAAGACTATTTCATTCTTTGAGTGTATTTCTAATTTAAAAATCTATATGATTAAATATTCAAAAGTGACAGAGTTTCCAACTTGACCCCATAAAGTGGTCTGGTTTTTAGGAAATCCATTCTTTGAAAAACCTAAGTAGCCATTTAGGGATGTCAAGATGGGGACCCAAACTCATTAGTCACTTTAATACATACAGAGTGCAGGAATATTATAGAATATACCTGAAGAAATTCAAGCATTCCTGGAGATTATCAGTGTTCTTCTTTAGGACCCTTTTTAGATTTGTATAGAAATAGGCTTTCTACCAAAGGAGTTAAAATATGCCTCTGTTTCACTTAGCATACAGGAAATAGATATTTTAGAAAAATGAAAGCCAAGTTATGACATTTATTTGCTCAGAATGGACTGAATCCTCCTGCCATGGAAGTCAATATGAAACATGCTTATTGACTATAGCAGTGTATGCTACAAATGCTTGTTCAGAACCACCTGAAGGAACTCACTTGAACTGATGAGAATGATGCTATTGATATATCACAAGGCTCCTACTCAAAAACTGAAGGCAAAAAATGTCAAAACTGAAAGCTGAACTACAGAACAGGAGTTCAATGTAGATAGATCCAGTTCCACTAGAGAAATTCTTCTCCGCTCTGAGCACTTCAACACGTACGAAGGAGCTCACAGATGGGGGAGGGAGGAATATTAGTAGATCCTGCTTCAACTAACTGTGCAGCTCCAATGAACCTCCAGACTGAGCCTTCTGGGCTATTATTCTACCTTTCAGCAGTAACACTGGTAGAGGGAACCAAAACCAAAATTCTGGTCTCTCTCTTCGGTGATTATCAATCTTGTTCACTAATATTTTTTTTCAGTTCTCTTACCTTGATCTAAAGTTCTTTATATTGTTGTGACCAGACGGGAAGAACTCACTTTTCCCTCTAACCTTGTCCCTAGGTATTGTGTGTGTGTGTGGGGAAAGTAGTAATTTCATCCAGAAGCTTCAGAGGGGTAGCTGAGTTAGTCTGTAACAGGAAAAACTTAAAAATCAACAAATACTCTAGTAGCACCTTAAAGACTAACAAAACATGTTGATGGTATCATGAACTTTCGTGAGCACATCCACTTCTTTAGAAGACAGGAGCAATAGAAGTCCAGATCCAAGATTAAATAAGGGAAGGGGATGGGAAGAGAGGAGGGAAAAAAGAGAAAAAAGGAGGGGAGGGGGAAAAAAGACAGAGTTTGAAAAAAAAAAGAAAAAGAGAGAGAGAGAGAGAGAGAGTTTATGGTTGCTGAGCTATTTGATATAGGGACAATGCTCTAAAAAATACAACTTCTCATGTCAATAAATAGAAGACACTTCCTCGCTGTGGATACGGCTAGACTACAAGAGTTTTATCCCGGAAAAACTCTTCCACATCCAGGGATATGTTTGCTCTTCTGCTTTTTTTTGCACTCTTGCGCAAGAGGGCTTATTCCTCGTGGGGAGAGGAATAACTCTTCTGGAAGAAGCCCTGTTTTCCGACGCTGTACTGTAAATTTACTTGCACAAGAGCATGTGTGCAGTATAGACAGCCGGCAAGTTTTGGTGCAAGAACAGCTGTTCTGGCGCAAGACGCCGCCAGTGTAGACATAGCTTGTGTGTATAGTAAGGAACCAACTATGCACTCCCTGCTGGAGAATATAAAATACAAAAGCTTCAGGGGTAGCCGAGTTAGTCTGTAAAAGGAAAAACTTAAAAAACAACAAATGGTCTGGTAGCACTTTAAAGACTAACAAAACATGTAGATGGTATCATGAGCTTTTGTGGGCAAAGCCCACTTCTTCAGCCCGTCGTCTGAAGAAGTGGATTGTACCCACGAAAGCTCATGATACCATCTACATGTTTTGTTAGTTTTTAAAGGGCTACCAGACTATTTGTTGTTTTTAAAGTTTTTTCATATACAGTACATACACTGCATGTCCACCTAGCATGGATATGAAGAGGCAAGTAGATGACGAGGCACTGCTTAGGCATGTGAAGATGTGCCAAAACCTTAGGGTATATAGTCTATATGGCTCTCTGCAGGCCCAAGCAGTGCCTCTTCCAGCTATGCTGCTATTTTTAGCAGTGTAATAGCTCACTGCCTCCCGCTGTTGGAGCATTTCCCTGCTGCAGTGAAAGGCTCTGGCAAGGAGGAGGCAGCAGGAAAAGGTTCTAGCGGCTCCCCACAGTTGGAGCCTTTCCTCACTGCCTGAATCTTTCCCGGCTATAGGGAAAGGCTCCAGCTGTTTTTGTGCCGCTAGCACCTTTCACTAACGTATATAGCTGCACACTAGTGTGAAAGCAGCCAGATTTTCAGAGGCACGTAGCTACACATATCTGACATGCTAATGCAAGTTGTGTACAGTATTGACATATACCTTCCACCTCTCCCACAGAGCAAAGATTATGAGACATGAAACTCTGAATCCCTACATGAACCCTTTTTTCACATTTACACCAGTGTGAAGTGAATGCATAATGCTACTTTTCCGATCTGATCACTTTTTTCACTAACTTTGCACTCGAGTAACACGTGACAAGACAAGGCACAGGTGCAATGAGCAATCAAGCCCAGAGAAAGACAGAGAGAGAGAGATGTATTTATTGGGAGAAACAACATAACTACATTAAAGTGTCTAGTTGTATGGTCCCATGTCCTCTTGGGATTGTTTTTCACTAAACAGTGGCATGTGGAAATATGTCCCTTTGCAAGATGCTGAGGGAAAAAAATTGCCTGGCTGCATGAGATGCCAGAAAAACAGCTGCTATGTCATGGCACTAGTGTCTACATGGTAGATATTTTTAAAATTTGGAAATTTCTCTTTCTGTCTCTCATAAAATGTTTGTTTTTCAGGTTTCTCATGACTTCAGTATGAAACATGACAAGTTACTAGAATGAATTTGGTTTTGGAAAACAAAAAAAGAAAGAAAATCCAAGATGACTGCAGACTTGTGGACTGGGTGATGTTGCAATATTTTTAGCACACAGTTACAGGAAGTATTCTCCTCAGTCAGAATTGGGTAAGTTCTTTCAGTCTTTCCTTCAAATCCTTGCTTGTTCATAGGCCATAGCAATTGTGGACATGGACACAGGGGGGAAAAATCACTAATGAATGGTCAATTGAGATTTTCCCTTCCATCATTGGCCAGTATATTTAAAGAATTACTACAGTAATCATATTTTACGAGCATGAGTCATTTTTCTGTTTTTAAAGAAGTATTTCACTTTACCCATCTCTTTTAGTATGTTTCCATTTGGTGTGGTTTGGCTGCATGGAGCAACGTGGCAAATGGTTACTTGAAAATATTTAAGAAAAAGGCAAATTCTTTAGCTCTGGCATACCTGTGGACCACATATATAGACATAATTACAAACATCTGTCCACCCACCCACATAACATTTAAGGAGTCATTTAAAAAAGTTAAAATTTTAATCTTGGAAGTAAGAAACTAAATGATTGTCCATTTGTATGTTTTTTTATTCATAATAACTTATCAGCTAAACCTCATGGATAAAAAAACTCAGCAACTTTCACAAGAGGGCTCTGACAAACAACAACATGTATGCACAAAGCCATGCCATCTTGTGCTGCAAAACAATGCAAATGTAAACTGGCAAATAATGGAAGTACCTGAAAGAACTACTTTATTTCTGTGTGTATAGAGGGGATAATTAAAAACAGACACTTTAAGAAATGTACATCAATTTGTTATATTAAAAAGATTTTCACCTAAGATTTCCTGAGTCAATTATATTCACTTATTGGTGTAATCTGAGAGTCCAGATTTCTTCTCCCTCCTTGCCCTCCCCCATTAATGATATAGACTCAATAACATTTTTAGTCTTAATTTGAGAAAGAGAGCTTTGAATTGTATCTCTGAGCCAGCAATCCTCTCTTTGCAGGATCTAGATAACTCCTACTGACTTCAGTGGGGAATGATAATCAGATTCTGAAGGGGGAGAGTTGTCTAGCCTCCAACCAGAGGTGGTATTTACAATCCAAATCCCCACTGAAAATGGATTTTACAGCATCCTGTTGGGCTCATACTGGTCCACACCCTACCCCACCCCCAAATTCAAATCTGCAATGAAATGAAATTTGCAGTGGGTGATCATCCCTGTCTATTCCCACGGGGATCCCTGCACCCTAAATGCACAACAAAGCTTTTCCAACACAGGGAATCCACAGCTTTTCCAACACAGGGAACCCACAGCTGGAGCAAAGTGGGCAAAGCTAGTTTTGCCACCCATTCTCATCCGTAGTTGAAGGGGGCATTTTTGGCTTGGAGAATTCTGAGGAGGCACCATGTTTTGGCAGAGGGTAGGGTGTGGAGTTCCCAGCAGTCTGACCGATCTTTGATTGGGTTAGCATCTGAGCGCAGTTGGGATAGTTTAAAGCAGCTCTTGAGGCTGCTTGAAGTCCGGGGGTTTTAAGTCTACTCTAAGTAACACCTAGGGTGAAGTAGTCCTTGGCCAGCCTGCTCGTGTAACAGCAGAGAAGTGGTGTCCCTGCCCCACTCTCCTCAGGTTGAGTATCTGGCTTTCTCTGTTGTGTTTCGCCAAACTCCATGCACATGAAAACACATCTGTCAGTACATTATGAGCAGCAGAACGCAGGATCACAGCACGAACAACAATTACACTGAGGATGTGGTATAGTACTTGTCTCATCTGATAATCTCAGAATGGTTCAAGGTCTGACTATTCTGGATATGCATCACTTAATACTTGGATGTGCCTCTCAGTTATTTACACCTGATAATGATCCTCTGATGTCCTTATTCACTGGATGGGCTAGATTGGAGCAGAATACATAAAACCTGCATTGTGTGAAAAGGAGAGCTGGAAAATCAGCTCGTATAAGTATTTATTTTGTAGTGCGAATTCTAGCTTTTACTACTACAATTTCCCAATGCCAGAATGCTGTCTTCTATCATATAACACACACACATAAATACAGTATTATAATGAGAACAAGCTGTCAGCGTGAGGTTTGCAAGCTCTGTCTAGTTCTTCAAAGTTTTTCTTTTATTTCTTTACCCAACACTGTAGGTGTGCTAAGGACCACTGGTCTGACTGAAATTTTATTTTCTAGACAAATGCAGTCGGATCTAAATCTAGAGGGAAGCCTCAGTATTACACTGGCATGCCCAGAGGTATAAAAAGGAATGTGTTGCCCCTCCTGTTCACTACCTCATTATGAGGTTATTCAACACAGGGGAAGCCTTGTGACTTTTGCATACAACTTTGGGAGACCAGTCCAGAGGCTCCTTTGTGTGCTCTGTGTTGTGTGTCAGTGTATAGTCACCTCAGACCAGACTCACTCAGGCAAATCACCAAGAACAGGCTTTTTTTCCGTAAACATAGAACAGGATTATAGTCCAACAGCCTCCTCTCTGCTTGCAGCCTACGTGCTCCCAGCTCAGTCAGCACTGAGACCCTGCTGGGAGAGCAGAGGATACTTAGTACAACACAATCCCCCCTTACAAACATAATCTAACTCCCACAGTAACTAAGCCCCAAATAAATAAGCCCATGTTCTCCCTTTGTGTCACTTAAACTCCTCTCAGGGTGGCCTATAAGCCTTTTTTGGTCCTTCCTGAAAAGAACAATGATCATTGATCATATTAACACAGATGATCATTGTGAATGTTTTCCCCCCTTCTACTTTCTCAGGAAGAGAATACACACTGACAGCATGCTATGATGCCATACAAAATGGCTTGGAAAAAATTAGTAGTCTCACTTCCTAGCAGCTAGACTTTTATAACACTATAGCAGCTTGGCAACTGGAAAACATTGGCTGTGTTACTAGATGGATGGCTAGGCTCTAGTCCTTCATGGTTCTACCTCTTCCTGTGTCTCAGCTCTGTTGCCAGGTTGCTAAGTTTACCCCATCTGGGGTAACAGAAAGGCCAACAAACCAACGTCCAAAATCTTGTATCAGATCTTCAGCTGGGTTCCTTCTAGTAGGGGCTTGACCTGCCTACTACACTGGCTTCTAGCCTACAAGCCCTGTAACTGGCAGCCAAGGACAGCTGCCTCCAGCTCCTTTCTTCTGCCTTCCTGAGTTTCTTCCTACTCATCTCCTCAAGGATCTTCCTTCCTTCATGACTGTGGTCCCCTCCTCTGTGATCCACAACAAAAACAAATTAAGGGTAGAACCTCAGACCAACTTCTGTCCCTCAGGCTTAGCCTTCCTGCATCCTATATTCCCCTGGATGTTTTTCCTCTGAAGACTTCCCAGGGCTCTCCCTAGAAATCCAGATTATGCTATTTTATAACAGTTTACATCTGCAACTAGCTGTGGTTACTTAGCCTCTCCCCTGACTTCCTGCCAGGAGAAGATCCCAAGGCTAACTCTCCTCCTTGGGCTTCTTGCTTGATCTTCCTGTTCCTCCCTATAGTCCCAGGAAGTGACAGCAGACTCTCTCCTTGCCTCCCTTTCTGCTCCCAACTTCCTTTTTTATAGTCCTTTTTTCTGGCTCTTTCCTAGCTAGGATTCATCCACAGATAAGCTGAGCTCTCCCTCCAGGTGCAGCCTAGTACATTAACGGCATACTCCACTACACTGAGATTCTGTATTTTTGTCTCTCTGCCATGTCCACTGCTCTGCTGAGCTGTCCTGTTTTTCAGGAAGATGTGTACTGCACCCTTTACATGGTGTGACGGGGCTGACCCATCACTCTCGGGGACAGGCACGGTTCGGGGGTGCCCCGAACCAGGAGAGACACCGATGGGGCCCGGAGGCCCGGGCACCAGGGAGGACCAGCGCCCGCCCGGCCCCACGCCGAGCGTGACGCCACCGGCGTACCGGGGAAACCTGACGCTTGCGGATGACGTGGGGTGAGGTGTCATCAGCCAACGCCGGGCGGGGGGGGCTCGGAGACCCGGGCGCCAGGGAGGATCAGCGCCCGCCCGTCCCCACGCCAAGCGTGACGTCACCGGCGCGCCGGGGGAACCAGACGCTTACGGATGACGCCGGGCGGGGGGTTTAAAGATAGCCGCCGCACTTCCAAGGGGGGCGGACGAGCAGAGGGAAGGAGCGGCCAGGGAGGAGTCGGAGGACAGCGGGTGCTGGCAGCCCTGGGTGCGGCTAAACACAGGGGGCCGAGGATCTGGAGGGGACGGACCAAGGGGAGGAAGAAGCGGCCCAGGGCGGGGCTGCGGAACCCGTGAGCGGGGGTGTTTAGGGTCCACAAACACCCCCCCCCCGTTGTGAGTGAGGACTAGTGTCCTGACTCTAGGGCCCTGGGTCAGGGTCCGGAGCGAGGGCGGGCCCGGACCCCCTTCCCTCCCCCGCCCCTTTTCCCCAGTGAGGGGCAGCTGCCTAGGCGGCGGGAAATTCGTGCGGGGACACCGCACGGCGAGATTAGCAAGGATTACAGAACCTCGGGGGTAGTAGAGAAGGCACCCGTGGCAACGGGGTAGGAAAAAGGGGGGGCTTCCCCCCCCTTTCCCGGCCGGGGTGCCTTACACATGGGTATAAGAATGCATGTTCCAGAGAACTGATTCAGTTTTTCCCCTTGGGGTGGGGTGGATGTCCTAAATCCAGCCATCTAGCTCAAGATAAGTACCAGTGGCTAAACTGTATGTTTTGTGCAAATCATTTCCTTTCATCATGCATCACTTGTTTGGGAAAGCTAACATGAGTCACTAAATTAGGAGAAATTTGGACATTCCTAATGTATGACAAGGAAACTGTATAATGTCCCATCGCATCCAGTGTATTTTACAAACAGCATCCTCAGTCATCCAAATCATTATTTTATCTGGAAGGATATAAAATTGGTTCTTTTAAAATATGGACATTACCACACTGCAGTATTTATAGACTCAGACTTTAAGGCCAGATGGGATCATCGTCATCATCTTAACTGACCTCCTCTCCATTGCATGCCACAGAATTTCACTTATACCCTCCTGTAATAGACTTATAGATAAGGCCATGATTGTGACATGGAGGTCACGGAATATATGACTTCCATTATGCTCCATGACATTTTCTGTCCCAAGCTGGAGCTCCCTGCCAGCCTCCCCCCGACCCTGCAGCTCCCAGCTTTCACAGCTGTGGCAGGCAGGAAGGGACTCTGCAGCTCCTAGCCAAAGCAAGTGGCAGAGGACATTCATGAGCACTCAGTTGTCCTAACAGAGAAGAGTGGTAGAATACAGGCAGGAGGAACCTGCAGCTCCCATTCTTTACAGTGAGAGGGGGACCTCAGAGATCCCAGTGACCACAATAGTGGGACACTCAGGAGCACCAGCAGCAATGGGTGGTGAACCTGCCCTCCCATTTTCTCAGGATATTTTTAGTGAAAGTCATGGACAGATCACAGACAATAAACAAAAATTCACAGAAGCCTGAGACCTATCCATGACTTTCACTGAATATGACTGTGACAAAAACTTGGCCTTACCCATAAACTGTGGCTGAGCTACTGAAGTCATGATTTAAAGATTTTAAGTTACAGAGAATCCACCAATTACTCTAGTTAAAATCATCAGGCAACACATGCCCTATGCAGCAGAGGAAGGCAAACTCTAGGTAAAACTAGGATGTCTGACAATATTACACACTGTATTCCAGATGAGATCTCAACAGTGCCTTGCATTATGACCATAATACTTCACTATCTCTCATAGAAATATCTTGCCTGATGCATCCTAGTGTTGGATTTGCCTTTGTCACTGATGCTCACTATTCTGATGTCCCTGTAAACTTCATTCCATGAGGAGTAAGGGACATTTCAGAATAGCGATTTATTTCAAAATAAGTGCTGTATAGAGAGTGCCAAATTTTGAAATAAGCTATTTCGAAATAACATCAAAATAAGATACTCAATTTGTGTAGCTCAAATTGCGTATCTTATTTCAACCTACGTTGCAGTGTAGACACACTCAAAGGGTACGTCTACACTACAACGTTAATTCGAACTAACTTAGTTTGAATTAGTTAATTCGAACTAAGCTAATTCGAACTAACGGATCTAGACTAAAAAACTAGTTCGAATTAGCGTTTTGCTAATTCGAACTAGCATGTCCACACAGAGTCGACCCTGAACCAGGCTTAAGGATGGCCGGAAGCAGTGCCGGCAGGGCATCAGAGGAGGACTTAGAGCGTGGAGATGCTGTCTCAGGCTAGCCGAGGGCTGTGCTTAAAGGGTCCCGACCCCCACCCCGGACAGACAGTTCTCAGGGGTGCCCCGCTTGCAAAGCAGTCCTGGCTTGGAGTGCCCAGAGTACCCACACTGGGCACATCACAGCACTCGGCCATCAGCCCAGCTGCACTTGCCGCAGGCTGCCATCTGGGGAGAGGGGGCAATCGGGGGGCTGCAGGAGAGGTTCCACCCCAAAAGCCTGCAGGAGCCAGCCCAGTCCTCCCCATCGGGGGCTCATACCCCATTCCTCCCTCACCTCCTTCCACTTACCCTTCCCAAGCCCCCTCTTCCTGATGTAAAAAATAAAGGACACGTGTTCAAAAAAAGAAACTCTCTTTATTTAACAAAACTGGGGGCGGGGGGGATTAACCTCTGGGGGACTGGGAAAAGGAGGTGGGAGAGGGGAAGAGAGAGCCTGGGAGAGGGGAGGGCAACTAAAATGATCAGGGGTTGGGAACAGGTCCCATATGAAGAGAGGCTAAAGAGACTGGGACTTCTCAGCTTAGAAAAGAGGAGACGGAGGGGGGACAGGATAGAGGTCTCTAAAAGCAGGAGTTGGGTGGAGAGAGTGCATACAGAAAAGTTCTTCATTAGTTCCCATAAAGAAGGACTAGAGGACACCAAAGGAAAGGAATGGGTAGCAGGCTTCAAACTAGTAACAGAAAGTTGTTCTTCACAAAGCAAAGAGTCAACCTGTGGAACTCCTTGCTGCAGGAGGCTGTGAAGGCTAGAACTAGAACAGAGTTTAAAGAGAAGTGAGATAAAGTGATGGAGGTTGGGTCCATGGAGTAGTATTAGCCAGGGGATAGGAGTGGTGTCCCTGCCCAAAGTTTGTGGAAGGCTGGAGAGGGATGGCACGAGACAAATGGCTTGGTCACTGTCTTCGGTCCATCCCCTCCAGGGTCCCTAGGGTTGGCCGCTGTCGGCAGACAGGCTACTGGACTAGATGGACCTTTGGTCTGACCCAGTACGGCCATTGTAAGCTCAGGGCCCAGGGTCGGGGGTCTCAGTGGACCACCTTGATTTTCATGCACACCTGCTCCAGGGTGGCCAGGCTGGCAGCTCTCCTGCCCTAGACGGCC